ACTGCCCAGATAAGAGAGAAGACATACTGCAAACTACATGGAATTGGTTCTTATGGAGTGCCTTGAGAGAGGAAAGCAAATCAATTGGCTTGCCCTCATTGTCAAATTGCTAGACAGGGTCATCAATGGTTCCAAGGCTCATGCTACTCCATATGGCTTCATACTGACCACAGTTCTGGATAGGCTGAATGTGCCTTTGAAGATATGGGAGATGGCATCAAGCAAGGAACATTCTGATATTAAGACTCTTCTGGCTTGTGACTATCCAGTCAATGCCATCCCAGATGAACCTGTTTCATCTCTGAAGACACCTATCAATAGCAAGGTTAGGACTTTGGTTCAGGAATGTGGAACTAAGGATGCTGAGATTGCTAGGCTCAAGGCTCGTGTGGCTGAAATGGAAACTGAGAGGGATGGCCTTAGAACTGAGCTAGCAAAAGAAAAGGAGAAGAGTGATGGAATCCTTCAGAATATGCTGAACCTTCTCCAGACTCAACCCTCTAGTTCCTCCAAGCCTTAGGTCTCCTAGCACTTGTCTTCTGAACCTGTCCAGTGACCCCCAGTGACCCGGATTAGGGATTTTTCTGTTTTTTTGCTCATGTTTTGAAAGTTTTTCTTTCCTTTTGTGGACTGTTAATGACAGCATATCATGATCAATGACAACAACTGTTTTCTCATGTTCTATGATGATTCTGATCTTAATAGTTTAAATATGTTTGTTGATTATTGATAATTGCACCATGTTTTCACTTGCAGTTGCCCCAGTCGCCATGAGTACTTTTTAAAATCTGGGATTCACATTAAGTATGCAACTTTTCGATGATGCCAAAAGGGGGAAGATACTGTGTTTTACACATTATTCTGAATAAGTGATATTTATAACCTAATTAACCTGGTCCTTGATGAGAAGTAAATTTTCTAAGTCTAGTGTTGATGGTTAAGCTGATTTCTTACAGGTCTTTTGATCAGTAAAAAGCACAGAGTTTGTCATCATCAAAAAGGGGGAATTTGTTGGCCCAAGAACAGGTGAAGTTTGAAGAATGACAAATGAACTCAGTCATGGACCAGGTCCATCATGTGAAGTACAGTGATGATCAACCTACACATGTGAGATGCACGCGAAGGAGATAAGTCTCATTGATCAAGCAGATATATCTCCTGATCTGATCGAAAAGGTTGCATATTGGATAAGGAGAGAAAGTCTCCTTATGTGAAGAGAACACAATCCGGATAAAAGATAGTGTTAGAGTTTGTGTTGTTCAAGGACTCAACTTCGATGGAAGATCAACAATTGAGTCTCAATCAAACTCTAATTACTAACTCATTAAATAACAGTGATTGTTCTCTTTTACAGGGATTGCACAAATGCAGAAGTTAAACTAAATTGAGAGCAAAAGAGCGAGGCAATTTTACAAGCAATTTATGTGAGATTTGAGTGTGCATTCCTGAAGCTACTTGAACGAGATAGAAGAACCAATTTCATTGTGTGTTTCTTTATTTCTAGTTCAATTGTAGTAGGTGATTTATACTTGTACCTTTCATCTTTCATAGAAGCAATTGTATTAGGTACTTAGAGTGTTCAAGTTATATGCTAACTTGAAGTTGTCGCAATAGTTGAGGCTGTGTGCTATAACGGGATTAGAGTTAATCCTTAGATTTACAAAGAGTTTTGTAAATGCTGTTTTGGCTCAGTGATTTTAGTGGAAGTTTGGGAAAACCCTACCGAGTAGTAGGTCGTGGTTTTTCTCACCTTTTGAGCCAGGTGTTTTCCACGTAAAAATCTCTGTGTTCCTTATTTTATGTACTTATTATTTTGCAAACAGTAGAGTTAGTACATGTAGAAGAACCAGGTTCTCCTAGAGCGAAAAATTGGGTACCACACAAATCACCCTCCCTCTTGTGTGGTATTGACGTATAAAACATCAGATCTGTATAGGCTTGGGCCATCTAGTATCTCTAATTTTACTGATGGCTGAGACGATACCCGAGGCATCGACGCTGAAGTTATACTCCGATAATCGGGGTGCCTCCGCATGTCCTAAGTGCCTAGCGAACCCGATTTTGCTCGTGAGTCCCCGGCAACTTTGACCTCGATCTGCTCTTCGATCATTCCGAGGTATGTTACGCCTTGAAATGTTCCTTTGATCTTCGATGTATTGCTGATTTCTTTCCTTATTCGACCTTGACCCCCTATCTGCATTTCCTGACTCCTTTGCTAGTAACCTGCTTGGATAAACTGAGCCCGAGGGGGCTCCCAACTGATCATCCTCAACCCTAATTTTTGATTGGTACCTGTTATGCACATCCGCCCAAGTCACGGCGGGGTACTCGATCAAGTTCTACTTCAGCTGCTTCGAAACTATCGAACTTCGTTCATTTAGCCCCAGAGTGAAGGCTTGTACGGACCAGTCATCGGAGACCGGTTGTAACTCCATTCGTTCTGACTGGAAGCGGGAGACAGCTTCCCTCAGCATCTCGTTCTCCCTTTGCTTTGTTTTGAATACATCGGACTTCCTTATTGCAACTTTTATGGCACCGACATGTGCGTTTACAAATGATTCTGCCAACGTGGCAAACGAATCAACAAAGTTCGGGGGTAAGTTATGGTACCAAATCATGGCACCCTTAGACAGAGTTTCCCCTTTTAGCAAAACGGACTCAATCTCATCGTCTTCCAAATCATTTCCTTTTATGCCATAAGTATATGTGGTGATTTGCTCGTTGGGATCAGTGGTCCCGTTGTATTTTGGGATGTCTGGCATCCGAAACTTCTTCGGGATGGGCTTCGGAGCCGCACTCTGGGGGAATGGTTTTTGTACGAACTTCTTTGAGTCCGGTCCTTTCAAAATCGGAGGTGCTCCCGGTATTTGGTCGACCCTCGAGTTGTATGTTTCCACCTTTTTGTCGTTGTCCTCAATCCTTTTTTCTCCTAATTCGATCCTCTTCGTGAGTTCCTTGAGCATTCTCATGACGATGGATTCAGTTCCTGAGCCGTTGTTGCTTGATATTTCCGGGGTTGGCTCAACACGATTAGCGTTTTCTGGCCCAGCCACGCTCGGGGTCTTTTGCTGACTCTGGAACTGAGCGACAGCAACTTGTTGCGCTTGCAACATCTCAAAAATCACTTGTAGACTAACTTTTCTTTCTCCTTGAGCCTGTGTCCTTTGAGCGTCAGGTTGATCCCCTCCGCGCACACTTCCTTCGACATCAGCATCCAAATCGACGTTCACGGCAATGTGCGAACCAACATCGACGGGATTTGGCGCTGGTGCTACCCCAGGGTTTAGCGGTGGCACACCGGTCCCTGCAGTTGTTGCATTATTTTCTCCATGGGATCCAAAACCTTCGTTTCCATGCACGGGTGCGTTTGTTGAGCTAGACATATCTTAGCCTGAAATCAAAGAATCTTTGACAAGAAAAAGTGTGAAGAATAACGTGTCTTATCATAAAACTAGCACTAATATAATCACTATTATCTTTAGCCCCACGGTGGGCCCCAAACTGTTTACCTCGAAAAATGAGTAACAATTAAAGGTGATTTGTGGTTTTAAAGATATGTGATTTATTCCAATACTAGTGAATATACAAGTAATATTAGGTTTAAATAAGAAGAATTGATGAATCAAACCAGCGTTGTTAGAGTGACGGGGACCTCGAGCTCGGTTGACTCGGGAGCCTCGAGGGTTGAGAGCTAATAAAGTATGAACAATAAAGTAAAAACAATAAAGCTGAAGAACAATTGCGGAGCACGGTAAACGAGAAAAGCAGAGTAGAATATTCTATTGCAGTGATGAGATAATGTTTACAAATGATTGGGGTCCCTTTTATTTAGGAGGGGAAAACCCCAATATGGTACATTCCCAATTACGGTAAGAATTCTATTGGCACAACTGTATAACAACCTAGTACAGACTCATACTATTTCGTACAAATCTTATCCTATAATTTATATCCTGACCCACATGTCCTTGAGAAATTCCCGCTCTTTCTTGAGTGTCATCGAAATTATACTTTCCTCGTGGCAGATTATGGCGGGTCTCCGATTTACCTCTCGAGGTGACACATCCCGACCAGGGTATGATCAAGTCTCCGATTCTTGCTCCGAGCTTCCGAACTCGAACTCGGGGTATGATCAAGTCTTCGAAATCGAGCTCTCCGATTTAGACCGTATACAAATTTTAAATGGATTTTTTTTTTCTATCACAGGAGAGAACATAATAAGTAAGAAAAAAAAGGAGAAAGCTAGGAAAAACCAAAAAAGGATAAATGGCCCTCCTTATTTATGGTAGGTGCCACATCAACCTATCAAGTCCCTCCTTTGTATAGATACATAGATTCTCATAGAATGAGGAACGATCAAGTTATAACTTAAACTAGAAAAGGGAAAATTATACGGGAGAGATTATTTGTAAAAATAAAAGACCAGATTATAGTGAAGAGGATATTTCGACCCAGTTGTACCTTTCCAACACCAAATTATGGTTTGAGGTCTAGTTAGGTAACTTACAGTTGAGGTGGAAGGTTTAAACCTCATCAATAGAGTAGCGATTCTTTTCCTTTTCCCGTTCTTCCCCTGATGTAATTAAAAAAATTACTAATCCCTCCGTTTGAGGTACTTTTCTTTTTAGTTTATTCCAAAATAAATGACACATTTCTAAATTTGGAAATAATTCAACTTTAAACTCTTCATTTTACTCATTTTACCCTTAATGAGAACTTTTATAACCACACAAAAGTCATGACCCCACAAAGCTTTACCTCTTAAGCTTTTAAGACCACAAATTTCGAAATTTTTTCTTTTTTCCCTTAAACTCCGTGACGAGTCAAACTACCTCATTTAATTTGACAGGCAGGGAGCAAAATTTAGTTTAAAACACCAAATTAGCTCCCGAGTCCTATCTAACTGAAGCAACAAACTTTATTAAAATTGACGGTCTAGAGAAAAAGTGAAAATGAAGTATTGCCTCCTTTAGCGCATTTCCAATCCTTAGTATCCTCGTGCTCATGTTGCATGTTTTGCATGGCTAGGATATTCAGCAGCAACTTTCTCTTTGCTTAGTTAGGGTTTTCTAATGAATGAAGAGGAAGATAGGAATTACCCTGAAATCTAATTAACCATAATGTCAAAGCTTAACCTCACCGAGGACCCTTACATCGTTAACAAAGGCCTCCTAATATGCCGGACCATACATCCTCCACATACCTTTGGCATCTTCTATGGAGAAAATCCATTGCAATTCTCTTTTCCCCTTGTCTTGTTAGAGATCTCCACCATCATCGCCATCTCCCGTCTCATTCGCTATCTTCTCAAGCCTCTGCGACAGCCGAGGATCATCTCTGATATCCTCGTAAGTTTCTTAGTAATCTCGTAGTATAATTTTCAAATGAGAAAAGATCCAAATTTACCTTGTTATATGATACGAAATGTTTTAATTTTATTCTATGTCATGTATGTCCTTGTTGTTAGCAAATAGTCTCGTATTTGGGCTTAACATTAATGAAGCACCAGCATGGACTACTGGGTGGATTCAACACGTCAAAATGCTTTTGAAAAAAAGCTCCAACTGTACCTCTTTACTTTTGATTACAGTTTAAAATTACTCGCTGATCCATTATACTTCAGGGTGGAGCTTAATTAGATCCAAGGGCGATTACGAGATGATGTGTTAACTGCAAGCATATAAATAATCTTAAAGTATAACGGATAATAAAATTAAATACAGTAGAAGAGTATTATCTCTACCATGGACGGAGCTAGGGTTCTAGAACCCTATTCGCAAAACAATTACACTGTGTATATAAGGTTTAAAGTTTTTGTTATAGACGTATAATAGCTGTTGAATTCCTTCGTGTTTTGGTGAAAATCTTGCTTCTGCCTAACCTTTTTCTTTGTCAAATACTAATATGTTATAGCAGTAAGTTGTGTCTTATTTTCTTGAAAGATATATTATACTTAGTGGAAGATTTGTTTTGTGTTTTTGTTTTCCTCTCCTGAATGTGAAGGGTGGAATAATCGTAGGACCATCTGTTTTGAGCCGAAGCAAGCGTTTCAGGAACTTCATTTTCCCAGATACAGCTGACTACACACTGAAAAATATTGGACTCATTGGGTTTATGTATTTCCTTTTCATATCTGGTGTAAAGACGGATCTTAGCCAGATAAAAAAAGCTGGGAAAAAACAATGGTACATAGCCATATTTGGGGTGTCCATTCCCATGTTATGTAGTCTATTTATTGGAATAGGTGTTCGAAAATCCATGAAAAAAGAATTATCCAAAGCTTCTTCTATGTTGGGATTAACATCAGAATTCGCAATCACAGCTTTCCCTGTTATCTATCCAATAATTAGAGAGCTTAATCTCCTTAGTTCTGAGATTGGAAGAATGGCATTATCCACAGCTTTAATAAGTGATGTAATAGGAATCCAATTTATAGTTGCGTTTGAGGCAGCTAAACAAGGGGAAGAGAAGAGTATGTATGCTTTATGGTTTCTCATTTCTCTTTTCTTAATTGGAGCATCTATTTTTGGAGGTGTTCGACGTATCATGATATTGATAATTAATGCAACGCCAGAAGGGAAATCAGTGGAGCAAATTTATGTGGTTTTCATACTGTTGGGAGTATTGGTTTCTGGTTTTTTATGTGATTTGGGTGGGATTGAATTGACTAATGGACCACTGTGGTTGGGCCTTGCCATTCCTGATGGGCCACCATTAGGTTCTACTTTGGTGGAAAAGTCAGAGACAATTGTTATGGATATTCTTATGCCATTTTCCTTTGCATATGTTGGATTTTTCACTGATATTTCATCCATGTATGGCCATTGGTCACAGCTTCGACCAATATTTCTCATGGCAGTCACAGCTTATGTTGTTAAAATTGTTACTGTCCTTTTCACCGCGTATTTCTTGAATATGCCCTTCAGAGATTGTCTTGCTCTTAGCCTTGTCTTGAGTCTAAGAGGTGAAATCGAGTTTTTGATTTTCATTCACTGGCTGGATTTAAAGGTACTACTCTTTCTTCAAAATGACTTATAATTTTCGTCGATCATACCAAACATGTACACTCGAAAATATAATTGACACTAGCTAGTTGAATGTAATGCAGATGATAACAAGACCATATTTCACAATGCTAATACTAATGACAATAGGGGTGACAGCTATAGTCACTCCCTTGATCAGTATAGTCTATGATCCAACAAGGCCTTATATGATTCACACAAGAAGGAACATTCAACATACTGCTTCAAACACAGAGTTACACGTTATAGCTTGTATACATGATGAGGAAAATATGCCTGGAATTATAAATCTCCTTGAGGTCTCAAATCCAACTACTCATACCCCTTTCTTTGTTCATGCCTTGCACTTAATGAAGCTAGTTGGCCGTGCTGCACCTGTTTTCATCGACCATAAAGACGAGCAAGAATCCGACAACACGAACCAAAATCCAATCCATAATGCTTTGAAGCTTTTCCAACAAGGCAGAGGTGAAGATAACATGATCAAGTTACATTCATATACATCATATTCTCCTAAGAGAACCATGTATCAAGACATTTGTAAATTGGCTTTAGAGAAGAAGGCCTCTCTTATCATACTTCCCTTTTACAAAGATGAATTTGAGAGGCCCTCGACTAGTACACAAGTAGTAAACTCTAATGTCTTAAAACATGCTCCTTGTTCAGTTGCCATTCTTGTGGACAGGGGTCTTGCTGTGCCAATGAGACAATCAATTCACCATTTTGCGCTTCTGTTTACGGGAGGAGCTGATGCTAGGGAGGCACTTTCTTATGCTGATAGAATGGCTGCAAATCCAGATGTATCACTTACTGCTGTTCGATTCCTTTCGCATAACGGTGAAGGGGATAATGAGATGGAGAAGAAACTAGATGATGGTTTGGTGACATGGTTTTGGGTGAAAAATGAGGGAAATGATAAAGTTATGTATAAGGAAGTTATAGTGAAGAATGGGGAGGATACTATTGCAGCAATTCAGGCAATGAAAAATGAATTTTTTCATCTTTGGATACTTGGAAGGAACCAAGGGGTAAATCCTGTGCTGTTGCAAGGATTAACAGATTGGAGTGATGAAAATGAACTAGGAGTTATAGGAGACTTTCTTGTGTCAATGAATTCGGGTAGTACGTCTTCTGTTCTAGTGGTGAAGCAGCAGATTTTGAGAGGACAAGAACCGTCTTGTATTAGTTTTCTAGAAAAATTTACAAGTTGTGGGTTGTAGAAACCTCATATTTAGGTTTTAGGAAATAGAAATCAAGTGTAACTGTATATGTATTTGTGCTTTAAGGTTGCTGAAATACAACAAAATTTTGGAAGGGAAATTGATTTAATATAGCTTACTGCTCAACTACTTTGATCGAGGTTAACCGGATATCCTAACCATTATCTAGTATGTTTTAGGTATAACTAGTGCTAAAACTCACGCGATGCGCAGTTAACTTTCAAGAATATCAATATTATAAATTATTGTTTTAATAAATTTTAGTTGCTATTTTATTTTTTAATACAATATGCAGAAATACAACAAAATATATATAAAATTAAAGGATACACAAATATAGTAATCAAATAAATTATTTGTTCCTTATTTTATTCTCTATTAAATTAGGAAGTACTCAGTATTGCATTTACTAATGTGACTTGTAATTAACTAGTCAATTGGCTTAATATTTTGTCAATAATTTTCTTTTAATATAACAAAGGTATATATTTTCTTACTCAGAAAATATTTTTATTGTTTTTAAACTTATGTTGTACTGTTTAAAATTCTTTAATTGTCTAAATTTTATCAATAATTTTTTTGAGTGTATTACTTACCTTTTATTTTTTAATTAATTTAAATTATAAATTTCCTAACATTAACTTTATCCCCCTCTTTTAGTATATTCTTTTCTACTGTAATATTTGAATAGTCAATTCTTATTTTATATTTTACTTATAATTAAAATAATATAATATTTTCTTACTAAATTATAATTTTGATTCATCAACAGTATAAAGAGATAGGTCTTTTATTATTTTTGTAAAAATTTTACCAATATTTTCAAAATTATTATTTTGTGTTATATATATATATATATATATATATATATATATATATATATATATATATATATATATATATATATATATATATATATATATATGATATCCTTATCTTATGTATAATATCCTAATTTTATCTTTATATTATATATTTTATGCTGTGGCTTCGAATTCTTTTTTTTTTTTTAATATTCTTCCTTTATGACTCTTTGTTTATTATTATTTTAGCTATTCATATGTATGACTTTTCTCATCATAATTTTAATTCTAAATCTTATATTTCTATAATTTCCTTCAAATTTATATTTTATTCCTTTTTTTGTTCCTTGCTTATTTAACTGTTATTAAATTTCTCATATGAATATTTAGTAATTTATCACTTTAATATAATACACTGAATATAATTTTATGTTACTCCTAAATTTAGCTTAACTTTATCCTTTATTCTATTTTTCAGAATTCTTTCGTTGTTTAAATTTATCAATAATATTTTTGAGTTTGATTTGTTTTCTTAATTTTATCAAATAAATTTGAAGTGTGGATAGAATCACATTATCTCTATTCTCCTCTTGATACATTAGTTTTGTTCTATAAAATTTTAATTGTTTATTTAATATTTATCTATAATACGAATATTACTGTATTATTTTTCTAGATGGATGATGATGAATTAGTTCAATATTTAAAAATAGAATTCTTTTAACATTGTCATAAGCCAAAATTCCAACAACGTGGCCGTGATGGCGTTAATATCCACTAGCTAGGCAAACCAACATTAGCTAAACAATTAAGCAGATTAAAAACTTAAAAATATAATAATGAGAAATTAATAGTGAAATATCATGAAATGTGTAATAATCTGAAACCATCGATGTCTAATATTATTCCCAGAAACTGGTGTTACAAGTACATGAGCTACTAAAATACTACAAATAAAGTCTGAAGTGAAATACAAAACTGTCTTAAACAAGTCAACAATAATAAAGATAGGAAGGGGAATTCTGGGTCGGCGGACGCCATGCAGGACTACCTCAAGTTTCCTAGAAGGAAGGGTCCGAACAATTACCCTTGAATGTCGCTGGGACCAATAGTATGCGCATCAATGTCACAACAAAATCATAATTCGCAGCACAAGTGCCCATATGCCACAACTTGTCAAAAGAATCAACAATACCAATATTACCACATCAAATAGCCCATGGCTCAACCACAATGCGTACAAGACTTTCAACAATAGCAAACTGAAATTGAATAGCTCAACAAGAATGGTATTTCAACAGTTAACAATATTGCCTCAATGTGATCACGGCTTTTACAACTTCAACATCAATAACTCAATAAGAAGCTATTCCACGGAAACAACAACTTCAAGTAAACAATTCAATAATTAAAGAAGTAACGGACAATAAGGCATACAATAACTTCAACTAAATCATATAAGAGCAATTAACAAGTATAAGGTGGAACAAGTGTTAACAACGTCAAATAAGGCATGTGAGGGTAGATTAATAGATAAAAGGGTAGACTAACAATGAAAATATAACATGCTATGGCAATTTAATTAAAGGCATGAAAGAGTCCAAATAGCCTAAACCGGTCAAATACCATATATAGCCCGTGTATCCACTCTCCAGCTTGCGTACACGGCTTTCACATATCAAAAATAGCACAAGCAACCCAAATCCTAAGGGGTAGTTCCCCCACACAAAGTTAGGCAAGATATTTACCTCAAACAAGCTAACCCAATCCACTAGTGTCACGACCCAATTTAGGATCGTGACCGGCGCTTAGGAGCAAGTGCTCCCAAGTAAGCCTTATCGGTATTTTATAGAAAAACGGACAGAGTTTTCCCTATTTTTGGACTATCCAAAAAATTTCCTGTCTCATAAACAAGTAACAACCAATCAATATTCACCTAAATCGGTCACAATCTTCATCAACTAATCACAAACAGGTTTCCACCAATATCTCCTCAACATAATAAAACCAAAACCAACACTAAAAATACGAAAAGAAAGTGTAATACTAGTAACTAGTCCATATCAACAAACTAATACTCATGACACTAATAAGATAACGATGGAGCAACTCTAAGAGTTCAAAAGAAAAGACTATATCAAATAAATAAAACTCTTCGCTCATGCGAACGAGTGCGGGGCTCACCAAGAAGTATCAACCTGCGCACTTGATCACGCCCAACTATGCCTTATAAAAAAAGACTTTGCTGACATTGCAAATATAACCCGAGTATTACGCCCAGGGTCGAATCCAGTGAGTTAGTACTGTTGTGAGAGCCATTGTAGGGGTTGTAACTTTCAACACCCTGCTAGTTGTGATAGTTTGAAAGGCAGAAATAAATGGGAGGATAAGGTTGATGCCATCGGGTGGCGAAGTCTGAGTACCCATCCGACTGGCACTAATTAGGATGCATTTGATGTTCTTCTGAATTCTTTGCAGGTATTATGGCTCGTAAGAAGCAAAAGAGATTGGCGGGCACATCCCAACAGCCCACATATGATGACTCCAGGTTCGAATCAGAATTGGCAGAGGACGACTTTCATGCCAAGGCCTCAAAAAGCTTCATCCCTGAGATTCAGATTGACAGGGCAGCCCTCCGGGCGGAGAAGGAAGAGATGTATGAAGAGATCCGGAGGAGGGAAATGGAGTTCTTATTTGATGAACCTACACCGGTGAACATGATGATTGTAAGAGAGTTCTACGCCAACTGCCCAGCACACATGGTGCGGAGGGTGATTGTGAGGGGCACGGTGGTTGATGCCTCAGTTGCAACTATTCGCCAGGTGTTGCGGCTGCCTGAATTTACTGGTGACACCGACTATTACCAGGCCGCACTAGGAGTCACTTGGGAGACTATGACTGATGCACTCTGCACAGGGGGGCAACCCATCTGGATACGTGACCATATCACCCTGAACTCCAATTCTTTCACCCATTTGGCTAAGTGTTGGCTCACTGTTATCTGCAGCAGGTTCTTGCCCTCCGGCAATACGACTGACGTGAACTTCCAAAGAGCCCTCTTGACATGGTGCTTCGTCACAAAGAAAGATTTTGATGCGGCAAAACTAATTGGTGATGAAATGATCATACGGTCCCCGCTGCGGTCAAAGGGATTCTACTTCTCCTCATTGGTGACTACATTGTGCCTGCTGAGGAATGTCCCCACTAATCCTACTGATGGAGAGTTGCCCCAGAAAGCAGCTTTCAAAGCTTCGGGCATTAGAGTGGGCAGGGGTGCACGCACCACCATTCAGATCGATGATGAGGATGATGACCTAGTTCCCATGGTACCATCAAGGAGATCCTATGACAGTGCCGGACCCTCTCGGCGGCCCCATGCTGGAGCAGGCTTATCCAGATCACAGTCCACCCGCCCTATGCTGCGTACTATGGAGGAAGAGGTCGCGGATCTTCGTACCTCGGTGGAGGGGTTACACACACGTATGGATGCCATATCGCAGCGGCAGTCCAGATCTGAGAGCCGATTTATGGCCTAGTTCCGCGCTTTGGGGAGAGCTTGCAATGTGGACCCCAGTACCATCTCCGACTCTGATTGAGGCCCAGGGAAGTCTTCTTACCCTTCTGCTCTTTATTTTTGATATGACATTGGGACATGCCATAATTTTAAGTGTGGGGTGGAGACTTGCTCTGGTAGTGTATTGTAGTGTATATAGACATTGAGTATGTTGTAGTATTAGAGTGATATTGTGGTGTATAATTAACTCATAGTAGAAGTAACTGACTGGGCCCAATGACGGACACTTGTCGACAGGTCTCTTGAGGGTCATAGTCGAATCTAAAAAAAAATGTAGAGGACTCTTCCTGAGGACGGACCACTTGGACAGTACTCTTGAGGGAAGTAGTCCATGTAGTTTCTTTATTTTTTTTTTTAGGTAGTGTAGTAATTCTCCCTTGGTTTTTCTATTGACCACGGTTCTTTTCCAAGGGCTCTTCTTGAACCGGGTTAGGTAGATTTTTCTTTCGTAGTTTTAGGACCACGATGGGTGAAGGCTAGAATGCAACCCTAGCTGTACACACCTGAGAATAACAAAAATGATCTGAGGGTGCGACGTCTAGGCTCGTTTGTAGACTCATACTTTGATGCCTTAATTTTGCACATCTTGTCTTGCTTGAACGCTCGTATGAGTGTGTTGATAAATTGATTCGGAATGAGTTACATGCCAAGTGTGTGTGAGCTATTACTTGCATTCTGTGCCTGCATGCGATACCTAGAACCTGCCCTGTGTGTTTGCAAAGC